TTTTCCCGGCCCCCCCAAAATTTTTAAAAAAAAAAAGGGGTTTTTTTTTTCCCTTTTTTTTTTTTTTTCACAAAAAAACCCAAAAATTTAAAAAAAAACCCCGGGGGTTTTTTTTGGGGGGGGGGGTTTTCCCCCCCCCGGGAAAAATTTTTAAAATTTTTTTTTTTTTTTTGGGTTTTTTGGGGGGGTTTTTCCCCTTTTTTCCCCCCCCTTTTTGGCCCCTTTTTTTTTTTTTTTTTTTTTTTTTTTTGGGTTTTTGGGTTTCTTTGGGGGGTTTTTTTTTGGGGCCCGGTTTAAACTGGTTACCTTTTTTTGGGTTTTTTTTTGGGGGGGGGGGTTTTTTTTTTTTTTCTAGCTGGGTTTTGGTTAAAATTTTTTTAATTTTTTTTTTTTTTTTTTTTTTGGGGGTTTTTTAAGGGGGGGGGCTTGGGGGGTTTTGGGGTTTTTTTTTTTTTTAAAGGTTTTGGTTTAAAGGGGGGGGTTTTTTTTGGGGGGTTTTTTTTTTATGGGGCCGGGTTTTTTTTTTTGCTGGGTTTTTTTAATTTTTTTTTTTTTTTTTTTTTTTTCCGGTTTTTTTAAGGGGGTTACTTGGTTTTTTTTTTTAAGGTTTTTTTTGGGGGTTTTTTTTTTTTTTTTGGGTTTTTAAGGGGGGTTTAAAATTTTTTAAAAGGGGGGTTTTTTTTTTTTATCGGGAAATTTTTGGGTTTTTTGGGGGGGGGGGTTTATTTTTTAAAAAGGGAATTTAAAAAATTTTTTTAGGTGGGGGTTTTGGGGGGGGTTTTTTTGGGTTTTTTGGGGGGGTTTTTTTAATTTTTTTTTTTAAAGGGGGGGGTTTTTGGGGAAAGGGTTTTTTTTGGGGGGGAGGGTTTTTCCTTTTTTGGGGGGGGTTTTTGGGGGGGGGGCCCAAAATTTTTAAAGGGAATTGGAAAGGGAAAAAATTTTTTTTCCCCCCCTTTTTTTTGTTTTTTTGGAAATTTTTTTGGGGGGGGAAAAAAATTTTTTTTATTTTTTTTTGGGGGGGTTTTTTTAAAGGGGTTGGAACCAAACCCCCCTTTTTTAAACCGGAAAAGGGCCCCCAAATTTTTTTTTTTTTTTATTGGGTTTTTTTTCCCTTTTTTTAAAAAAAAAAATTTTTTTTTTTTTTTTTTTTAAAAAGGGTTTAAAATTTTTTTTTTTAAAATTTTTTTTTTATTTCCTGGTTACTAGGTTTCCTTTTTTTTTTCCCCCCCCTTTAATTGGTTTACCTGGTTTTAATATTTTAAACCGGGGAAAATCCCTTTTTTTTTTTGGGGGGAAATTTTAAAACCCCCGGGGAACCCGGGGCCCCCCCCCCCTTTGGGGGGGCCCCCGGGTTTTTTTTTGGGGGAATAAAAATTCCTGGTTTTTGGGTTTTTTTTTAAAAAAAAAACCCCCCAAAAAATTGGGTTTTAAAAAATTTGGGGTTTTTTTAAAAAAAAAAAAATTTAAAACCCTTTTTAAAAAAAAACCCCCCCTTTTGGGGAAAAAATTTTTAAAAAGGGGGGGGTTTTTTTTTTAAAGGAAACCCGGGGGGAAATTCCTTTTTGGAAAAAAAAAAAAATTTGGGAAAATTTTTCCCCCTTTTTTAAAAACAAAGTTTTTTTTTTTTTAAAAAAAAAAAAATTTTTTTTTTTTTTTTTAAAAATTTTTAAAATTTTTTTGGGGTTTTTTTTTTTTTAAAAAAAATTTTTGGTTTTTTTTTGGGGGGAAAGGGGGGTTTTTTTTTTTTAAAAAAAAACCCCTTTTCCCCGTTTTAAAAAAAAACCCCAAAAAATTTTTTTTTTGGGGGAATTTTAAAAAAATTTTTTTTTTTTTTAAAACCCAAAAAAAGGGTTTTTTTAAATTTTTTTTAAAAAATTTTTTTTTTTTTCAAAAAAAAAAGGGGTTTTGGGGCCAATTTAAAATTTTTTTTGGGGAAAAAAAAAAAGGGGGAAAATTTTAAAAAAATTTTTTTTTTAAACCCCTTTTTTTTTTTTTTTAAAAAATTGAAAATTTTTAAATTTTTTTTAAAAAAGGGGTTTTTTTTTTTTTTTTAATTTTTCCCAATTTTTTTTTTAAAAATTTTTTTTTTTTTTTTTTTGTTTTAAAAAATTTTTTTTTTTTTAAAAAAATTTTTTTTTAAAAAACCCCAATTTTTTTAAAAGGGTTTTAAAAAAGGGGGTTTTGGGGGTTTTTTTTTTTTTTTAAGGGTTTTTTTCCCTTTTTTTTTTTAAAATTTTTCCCCCCAAAAAATTTTTTCCCGGGGGAAAAAAATTTTTTTAAAAATTTTTTTGGGTTTTTTAAAAGGGTTTTTTTTTTTTTTTTTTTTTTCATTTCCTTTACCGGAAAAAATTTTTTTTTAAAAAAAATTTTTTTTTCCCAAAATTTAATTTTAAAAAACAAATTTTTAAAAAAAAAATTTTTTTTTTTTTTTTAAAAGGGGGGGTTCCCCTTTTTTAAAAAAAAAATTTTTTAAAAAAATTTTGGGTTTTGGGGGTTTTTTTTTTTTTTGGGTTTTCCCCTTTTTAAAAAAAAAATTTTTAAAAAAAACCCCCCCCCTTTTTTTTTTGGGAAAAAAAAAGGTTTTGGGGGGGTTTTTAAAAAAATTTTTTTTGGGGAAAACCCCTTTTTTTTAAAAAAAGGGGGTTTTTTTTTTTTAAAATTACCCCCCCCCCCCCCCCCAAAAAAAATTTTTTCCCCAAAATTTTTTTTTCCCCCCTGAACCCCAAAAAAATTTCCCCAAAAAAAAAGGGGGTTTTTTTAAAAAAAAAAGGGGGGGGAAAAAAAATTTTTTTTTTTGAAACATGGTTTTTTTTTTCAAAAAAATTTTTTTTTGGGGGCCCTTCCCTTTTTTTGGGGGGTTTTTTTTTAAATTTTTTGGGGGGGTTTTTTTGGGGGCCCCCCCAAAAAAAAAAAACCGGGGGGGGGGCCCCCCCCGGGGCCCCCCTTCCCCCTTTTTTTTTTTTTTTTTTTTTAAAAAAATTGGGGGGTTTTTTTTTTAAAAGGGGGGGGTTTTTTTTTTTTTTTTTTTTTTTAAAAAAAAAATTTTTTTTTTTTTTTTTTTTTTTAAAATTTTTTTTTTTTTTTTTAAAAAATTTTTTTTTTTTTTTTTTTTTTAAAAAAAAAATTTAAAAAAAAAAAAAAAAAAAAAAAATTTTTTTTTTTTAAAAAGGGGGGGCCCCTTTTTTTTGCAAAATTTTTCCCCGGGGAAAATTTTTTTTTTAAAAAATTTTTTTCCCCCCCCTTTTTTTTTCCCCCCCCCCCCCCTTTTTTTTTTTTTTTTTAAACCCCAAAAAGGGCCCCCCCCCCCCCCCCCCGGGGGGTTTTTTGGGTTTTTTTTTGATTTTTTAAAAAAAACCCCCCCCCCCCCCAAAAAAAAAGGAATTTAAAACCCGGGGCCCCCCCAAAAAAACCCCCCCCCTTTTTAAAAATTTTTTAAAACCCCCCCCAAAAATTTTTTTCCCCCCCTTTTGGACCACGCCCATCCCAAAATTACTGGAATCCAGGCAGTAGCTCAACGTTGCCTGTTGGCGCCCGCTGAAAAAGCGCCCCTCCCTAAAATTTTGATACATGTTTCGTATCCAAATATCAGAGATTTTGACCATGTATTCTTCGGCGGCGCGCGCTTCGAGCGCGAAAAGTGGCATGCAACTTGCTCTATCCAGAGCCCTTGCGCTTGCAGTAGCGCGCGCCCGCCTCACGGCGGTAAAAGGGCTCTAGCCATGAACCCACCCAACGATTTTGGCACCACTCTACAGTGGTGCCAAAATTACCCGCGCTTTTGTTGTTTGTCCTCATATGCGACGTGTGTAGCCTTTCAGACATTGATTGCGTAAACGAGGTGTCGTACGAACCTTCCCATCGGGGTTCGTAGATAGGTGCTTTTCTTGACTTGTGAAACAAGCGCGCCCGAAGTGGCGCGAAAGCACATGGTTAGGTGAAGCATGCAACGTATGTCAACTAAAATTGAACAAATTTGATGATTTTAGAGGATACGCCGGTAAAATCTCTAAAAAAGTGTGTTTCTACATTCTAGAGCAAAACGCGCAGTTTTGCTAGTCACCGTAGTTAAGTTTTTCTTACTGGGCGGCGCTCAGCCTGTCATTCCGCCGAATATTTATGAACATAATCGATATTGTCCCACATTCAAACGACAATTTGGCGCCCTCCTAAAATTGCCCCCCCCCCCTCCGCACAGCGGGGTCCTTCGTTACTAGTTACGCCACTGAATCCAGGTCAAATCAAGATTGAGAATCTTTACCCCTGTAGGGAATTTATGTTCCCGGGTATTAGGAACGTGTTTAGATGGTTTAATTAAGTTAGTACCTGTCCCAAACCATCAGAAAAACTGAGTTTCGACCTCTTGACCCACTCAGGCCACGCCCAGGAATGAGGAACAATGCGCAACTATTCATAGGGGATTTGACCCAGGACCCTTGATTCACGATGTCAATCCTTCGCATCTCGCCGACTTACACGGCCCAGTAATCGCATCGCGCTACAAATTTGACCCTTGTAGCGCGATGCGTTACTGGGCCGCGCATCCAATAATGCTTTTTGCAGTCGCATAGACAATAGATCGGTGAAATGTTAAATCGGCGAACGAAATGCGCTACTTTGCCTCGCCGAGCTGCGAATAATTGATATCGTCAATTAAATTTGACCCTTGTCAATTAAATTTGACCCTATGTAGGGGATTTGTGTTCCCGGGTATTTGGAACATGTCTTAGTGGTTAAACACCCTACGCGCGTGGGGTGGACTTTTGGGGTGGACTTTTATTCAGCGCGTATTTTGTAGCCTGTTCAACTTGACGTTTTGATTCGTTACTATCTCAATGTCACAGATACACAGAATGTGAGGTGATCATCTTAAAGAGAAACGTCTCAGCTTTCACCTGGTGTAAAGTTTATCTTTGTACTCAAAATATAGCTCGCTCAGTGTGCAATAGAAGTTGACAATACAATAACCACGTCTGCGACCGGTCGTCAGGTACCGGAGTGTTGCACAAAATTGGGTCCCTAAATTAAAATTCTATGACACAGTTACCATGCAGAAATGTCTAGGGAAACATTTGGTGAAAGTTTCAACTCTCTACTATAAAAATAGCGATAGTTATTGAAGATAAACCGTGAGAAACTCCCTCTTGTCGAGATCAACGCTCTAGGAAACTCCCTTCTGTACCACGTGACAACGATTTGAGCGTCACGTGGCCGTCACGTGACAAAAGTGCGCGCATCGGATGGAGCAGTCTCGTGGGAAATCCTGATTGCCTGATCGATCTCGTGGGAAATCCTGATTGCTACGGAAAGGGCTGACAACCACAGTTATTTCCCTTCCTCAATTTTCCAGTTCACTTGCTCAGTGCTGTCAGTTGTTTTTTGTTTGCCCTGCTATATAAACTTCACTCCGTCATAATCCCCTACTCCCCTATCCAATGAACTGTTTCTGTTACAGCTGCCATTCTGTTGACTGGACCCTAACTTAGTCTTATCATTTTCACTTGATAACTTTATCCGTGTGCACTTTCTCGAAACTCAACTTATCTTTGTCAAGACTCAGCTAATCTCAGAACTAAATGTTGCCTTAACAGACTTACTTGTCACTGCACTGGGCCCTCCTTTAAATGCAAATATCATATGAGCAGCTGATCGATTTATTGCTTGAACTGTGCATCCTTTTTAAAAATAAATAAGGTCAATTTTACTATCGTGAAACTTAGTCACTGAAGACAACGCAATCTGGCTGTGCCGGTTCCCCTCTGCCTAGATCACTTAGAATATCCATAGTTAGCAATACTTTTATCGTTTAATGCAGCGATATAGCCAGTTATCAATGCTACATAGTAGATTTTAGCCTGTTCCAATCATCCTTATATCGCGTTAATGGAATTTATGAAATTGCCTACCGTTCAAATCGCTCTCTGTTGTTAGCACCACACTGATTAACTACGATGTTCCAATTTTTTAGAATTATGTCCGACATAATTCTAATTTTTGCTGTTACAGCAGATAGTTATGGTGTAATGGCACGCAGGAATAAGTCATCCCTGTCCTCCAAAAAGCCCATGAAAAGGTATTTGGTAAGCTATGTCTTTTCCAATATCAAATCCAATGTATCACAATCTGTGGACTTTCTACTCAAAAACTAGATTGATTAATTGATAATTCATTGCTGATTGTTCACGCGCCCTGTATGGAAGTATATAAATGGTAATCCGCATACTCCAGGAAGAATTGAAGCAATCTCAAAAGAAAAGAAGGGAATCTGGATCCTTCGTCGGATCGTCAAAGAGCTTAGAGGGGAGCTCTACGCTTCACTGGCCATGCAAAGCAGGGAGAGTGACGGAGGCGGAGGCACTGCTGGCTGCTGGAACGGACATTAACAAGCTGGACAGAACGCAGTTTAACCCTTTCATGGACGCGATCAACTCAGGTAAATCATTCGACCGCCTTAACAATATGGGTTTATTGGTAATAGTAGCAAGAGGTTTTAGTCATGCGTTTGATTACAGCACAGTGTGAAACCCTGAAGCATACGTCGAGCTCTAAACTCTGTTTTGTCTGATAATCAATTATTTGAATATTGAAGGATTAAATTTGGTAACTTGATGATCACACAATTAACAGGACAGGTCGACTGTGCTAGATGGCTGCTGAGGCAAGACGGTTTAAAGCTTCAGACCGAGATATGGTCGTTTTGTAGGGAGAGGGTGCTAGAGTCATTGCTAACAGCTTAACAGAAGGTAAAATCCTGAACTTTTGTTCATTGATTAAAAATCACCATTCAGACATACAATCGTTCAGATGTAAAAATTATTTATTCACTATTTTGGATTACATTTAGTTACAGGACTAACATGCGACATCCGTCGTTGACCTTTGTCTTTAATTCAACAAGGTAGGGAGAGCGATCCATGGCTGTCCCGATAGACCCACTCAGACTCCTGCCGGAAGATACTCCTCCGGTTGATCCAGATGAGACAGTTCTAGCAGATGATCAGTTACAGACTGAAGAACATATCCCACAGATCAATGCGTCAACATCTGCAAATGAAGGTACTTCAATCTGCTCTTCTTGTATATGTCTTTGTGCCTGCGTCTGTGATTGTACTGAAGTGTACTCTGTGTGTTTGTGTCTGTGTCTGTCTTTGTATCATGTGTGTGTCTCTGATTGTACTGCGTGTGTCTGTAATTGTAATGTAGTGCACTGAAGTGAACTATGTGTGTTTATGTGTGTGTGTCTGTGTGTGTCTGTGTGTACTGTGTCTGTCTGTGTGTCCGTCTGTGTCTGTGTGTGTCTGTGTTTATGCCTGTGTCTGTGTGTCTATGTCTGTATGTGTTTGTGGGTGTGTGTCTGTGTGTCCTTGTCTGTGTGTAACTGTGTCTGTCTGTGTGTCTGTCTGTGTGTCCGTCTGTGTCTGTGTTTATGCCTGTATGCCTGTATGTCTGTGTCTCTGTGTGTGTGTGTCTATGTCTGTATGTGTTTGTGGGTGTGTGTATCTGTCTGTGTGTGTGTGTGTGTGTGTGTGTGTGTGTGTGTGTGTTCTTTCATAGAAGTTGTTATTTCCAAGATACGAAGTTCGAAAAGCTAGCATTTAGTAATAGACGAATTTTGCAGCTGATATCAGAATCGACATGATGATGGTACTACACGAGATGCTCATGGAAAAGGTCTCCGTTTGCTTTCCTCCTCCCACGAGCAGTACAAAGTGTGGGTTCAACTTTAATCTGATAGAAGATATCGTATGCGGAACCCAAGCCCGGCCATGTCTGTACATAATAACGAAAGAAACCGGTAAGTTTCTAATCATGTAAATGTTCGGCCGAACGTTTGCATTCATTTTAGACTAGTGACGAAAATCAACAATCGTTTGCCAGTTTGGTTTGCAAAATCGACAAAAAATAGTCCATTCCCCATGGCCATGATATTAGAATTCTGCCCGTTGAAATCGGCCACTCTGATTTTTATCATTGAACTTCACATTGATGACATGTTCATTCTCTACAGGTTATGCTGCGAGGGCGTTTACCTCGATAGATGTTGAAAATGCCCACAGCATTATAAATCATTTGGACCGCCGAGGGGTCCAAAACTCCTCAATCGAAGAGCTTAGTAGACATGCCAGCAACCTACAGAGACTTCAAATTCCCAGGAAACCTCTCTAGGACGGTAATACATTAACTTGTTTAGTTAATAAATTTAATAAGTAGATTTTGAGTGATGATTACTGAATACAGATATCGAGCCTCGAGGTACCATAAAAAGGGTATATAAACTTATCACTTATGCTTATATGCTTATACTATCAATGAATATCAAATCGCCTTCTCTAGTTATCAAACCCAACATAAGTTAAATCTCTGCCTACAAGGACTATTTGATATTTACAACAGACCGAGTGAATGTCTCAATCTTTTCAGGAAGCTTTATACTCCGACATCCACAATTTACTACGCCCCTGAGATCGACAAAGGTCTTTCTGATAGATTGACTTCCAGCCAATTCGATCTATCGAAGCCGAGTGGGAAGAACAAAGAACTGAAACCCCATGGTCGCAACGATGCTCCTCGCGGACAAGGGAGAGTTAGGGCCATCGGTGGTCACAAGACTGGATAATATTTATTTTTTAAGCGTTGAGGTTGTCACGAAAGCGTACTGTAACGGGACTATCAGATTTGAGTGATTTGATTTTGTGATTTGCAGTTCACGTGATTTTATTGTGATTTTATACTGTAAAAACTATAAAGGTCCAAGTTGAACTATCGTCGCCATGATTATGTATTTTGGAACTGTTCACGTTGAAATTGCTTCGTTAATCAGCAGTCTTCCTTGGTTACTTTCTACTGTGTAATGCAGCTACGATCAACGATACTTAGCTAGTACATTCATAGTAACACTAACTGCACTGAGAAGAGTAAAAAATTTGAGCTTTGACGGAATAACATTTCCTTGTTTTTAGATACGGTTACTACTCTAGTGAGGGGTTCATAGCTGATCATTAAGGTCTTACTCACAATAATTTGTGCTCTGATATTGGCCGTACTGACGGCTGTTGAAAAAGCCACTCCGTCAGATGCGCGCCGCAAGAGTCCACCCCTGTAGACCCCACTACGTACAAAATTTGAAATTTTCCCAAAAACTTCTGATTAAGCTAGTTTGTTTTCAATAACTTTTGCAATATTTACAGTAGACCCTTCAAATTTTCACCAAATGTTACTCCAGACATTTCTGCATGGTAACTGTGTCATAGAATTTTAATTTAGGGACCCAATTTTGTGCAACACTCCGGTACCTGACGACCGGTCGCAGACGTGGTTATTGTATTGTCAACTTCTATTGCACACTGAGCGAGCTATATTTTGAGTACAAAGATAAACTTTACACCAGGTGAAAGCTGAGACGTTTCTCTTTAAGATGATCACCTCACATTCTGTGTATCTGTGACATTGAGATAGTAACGAATCAAAACGTCAAGTTGAACAGGCTACAAAATACGCGCTGAATAAAAGTCCACCCCAAAAGTCCACCCCACGCGCGTAGGGTGTTAAATAGGAAGTAACTGTCCCAATTAACTTTGAAACTATGAGAAAAACCAAGTTTCGACTTCTTGACCCACTCATGCCAAAAATTGCTAAAATATTGATTACGTAATATGTGAACGACCCCTCACCCCTAACAGAGGGGGAGGGGAGAAGGATGTATTGAGCGGGCGAGATGGGCAGAAATAAGTGAAAAGAGGGAGATGCTCATCATTCAGACTTGCTCGTGACACAAAATGAATGTTATTGACACTCTTCTGTGAGGTGTTACACACATGGAAGCCGGACTTACCCCTACCTTTAAACATACCAAAGCTTAAGCTTTAATTTATGAATAGTTTCAGTCGCTCCAATAACAAAAGAACAGAACAATAAATCAAATGATCCTTTGTGTAAGACTGTAACTATGTTAATGTACACTATAATTATATTGATGTTGCTCTATCCATAGCCTTCTCGCTTGCAGTTGCGCGTCACGCAGTACGCCGACGCGTAGACTCATGGCTAGGTGAAATATTGATGTACACATTAATATAAACTATAGCTAAATAGAAACTATCACGACACTATCACGGAACTGTTTGTCATACGTTGTATGACCCGCCGCGCACGAGGTGTGCGGCTCCCCCTGTATCGTCAGGACGATAAAGTGACCATAGTGAAACGACCGTGGGGGTCGCAACGTGATACAAGGAACTGTCACGAAACTATCACGACTTTTTCACGACACTATCACTATCACGACTCTGTCACGTTCACGACACTATCACGTGACAGTGTCGTGATAGAGTCTGTCAGTGTCGTGAACTCCATCCCACTCGCGGCACCCGACTTCCGCAGCACCCGACTACCATGAGCCAAAAATTCTAAACGTTTTTTTCCAAAACTTTAAATTCGAATGCTTTTTTCCTCCCGAATTTCCGAATGATCACTTGATCTGAAATATTTCCCCCCCCCCCAAGTTTTCATGGAGTTTATTGAAACTCCTCATGTGGAGAGACTGAGTTAGAAAAATAACACTTTCTAAAGCTTAGTGTGATGGAGTTCAGCCGGTAGTTTGAAACTTAAAGCTGCTCTAATTCTAAAGTCGCACTTTACAGGCAGAATCAATCTCCACATCATCAACTTGAGCCACATTGCACCAACAATGCACCTCGTCCAGCACGTTCTCAATGATCAACAAGTCATGAGAACAGCACGTGACACAAAATGAATGTTATTGACACTCTTCAGTGAGGGCTACACACATGGGAAGCCGGACTAACTAAACCCCTATCTCTCTAAGTCTAACTCTAAGTCTAATACCAAAGCATATTTATTTATTTTGCCCACGTATATTGATAAAATGATCATGCAGTGGGTTGCACTTGTTTTTAGTCTCATTGCCTTAGCGGCATCTGCAAATGATTTTATTGGTAAGTCTCTCCAGTTTTTGAAATATGAACGATTTTTTACAGCTGATTTGGAAAAGTTGAAAATCACGTCGATAAATTAGGTGTACTCCAGCAAACAGTTTAGTTTTAGTGTCTTTGAAGTAGTGTCTGAGCACGTGAAGCAATAGCTTCACGTTGCTAAGCAACTAACACTGCCCCTCAGTTGCTAAGCAACTAACAGTAACACTGCCCCTCAGTTGCTAAACAACTAACACTGCCCCTCAGTTGCTAAGCAACTAACAGTAACACTGCCCCTCAGTTGCTAAGGAACTAACACTGCCTAGCCCCTCAGTTACTAAGAAACTAACGCTGCCCCTCAGTTGCTAAGCAACTAACACTGCCCCTCAGTTGCTAAACAACTAACGCTGCCCCTCAGTTGCTAAGCAACTAACGCTGCCCCTCAGTTGCTAAACAACTAACCCCTCAGTTGGAAGCACGTACTCCTGTTTCACGGGTTTCCAATCTGTTTCTACGGACGGTTGCAAATCACGAGTTGAAGATGCGGAGGGAAATATTGTACAGGAAGCTAGCGCTAATTCTGACACTGATTTCTGTGTCTCTCAACTGATCTATGGACAAGCAAAACAAGGTACTATGCTGTTTGATATTATCAAGTTTATTGTGCGTCATTTTTATATATTTTTATTTGTATCATTTATTGCCTCCAAATCCATTAACCTTAAGGCCTAATCCCGCTGATCTATTCCGATGAAAGTAGTTCCCTAGTACCTCAACAGTAATACATTTATAATTAAGCTGCGCTCTCTAATTGTTATAATCTTCTGCAGGATCCTTCGGAAAGTCTAAGAACTACGCTGTGTCAGCTACTTTCAAGATGGTTGAAATGGGAAAGTACTCCACAAGTTACGGTTATTTGGGGATTGCCTTCAATATGATGGACTCCAATAACTACGATATTGCTTACGTCAGGTTACTACAATAACAGTAATTAGGTTGCTTAAGTCAGGTTTTTATCGATAACTTGATATTTTCCGAGCTCTTTTATTGACATGATATCTAAATTCTAATAATTTTAACCAAAACCCAAAATTGGTTGGAGTGAACCGTGGCTCCTTTTTCCAAACAAAAAAGAAACGATATCAATTTATAAATTACCGTTCTCAAATGAAAAATGATACCGAGAATACTTATATGTATGATTGTAATCATTTGTGGGACTGGGCTTTAACAGATTGAAATGAAATGAAAAATAAAACTGTAAATGAAAGTTTTGCAACATGATAGTCAGGCTTCTATTAATAGCCATTATTCTGACAATGAAATAGACTTTGTTTCCAGGCCCCATTTAATTCGTAGTCTGACAATGAAATAGACTTTGTTTCTAGGCCCCACGCAAAGGACCATTGTTGGGAGTTGGGATATATAGAGGACGGTATGCTCTTCGGGAGAGGCTTTGGAACTTGTAATGACAAGGTTATGAAGGAGTTCAACCTGGCCATCAAGATAGAGAATGGAAGAGGTACAGCATTTATTAGCATTTATTAGCATTTATTAGCATTTATTAGCATTTATTAGCATTTATTAGCATTTGTTAGCATTTGTTAGCATTTGTTAGCATTTATTAGCATTTATTATAATACTGTACAGTCTCTGCACTGTGTAAAGTATCGCCCCTTTGTCAGGTGAGCTGTATGTAAACGGAGGAAAAGAGACGGATTTCACACCCTTCTTCCCCCCGGTTAACAAGGTAGCCACTGCTCTCAGAAGCAATATGGTCGCTCAGATGACGGTCAAAAACCTCAAACTCTGTCATGGTAATAGCATTATCTTTTCACTGATTCCGGGTTATCTTGACGTTGTTTGATTTCACTTTCTTCAATTAAATTGTTCAGACTTGCTGTCATAACTCTCCCAGAGATCAAGTGTGTGCTACCATAGTAACCACCCAAGTTAACATAGTCAACAATCTCCCAGAGATCAAGTGTGTGTCAAGGAACGAGGCGGGTAGGACGCAAGTCACAGCACCGGGAGACAGTTATCGGGATGCTAGCATGAGCAAGTGTGAGGCTTGTGTCTGTGGGATCTACGGACAAATCAGGTTAGTCACCTTGTTGTTATCCCAGTTACCATAGTAACAGCCCTAGTTACTATAGTAACAGCCCCAGTTGCCATAGTAACAGCACCAGTAATCATAGTAATAGCACGTCCAGTTACCATAGTAACAGCACGTCCAGTTACCATAGTAACAGCACGTCCAGTTACCATAGTAACAGCACATCCAGTTACCATAGTAACAGCACGTCCAGTTACTATAGTAACAGCCCGTCCAGTTACCATAGTAACAGCACGTCCAGTTACCATAGTAACAGCCCAGTTACCATAGTAACAGCACGTCCAGTTACTATAGTAACAGCCCCAGTTACTATAGTAACAGCCCCAGTTACCATAGTAACAGCCACAGTTACCATAGTAACAGCCACAGTTACCATAGTAACAGCCCCAGTTACCATAGTAACAGCCCCAGTTACCATAGTAACAGCCCCAGTTACCATAGTAACAGCCCAGTTACCGTAGTAACGACCCCAGTTACCATAGTAACAGCCCCAGTTACCATAGTAACAGCCCCAGTTACCATAGTAACAGCCCCAGTTACCATAGTAACAATCCCATTCTGTTACAGGTGCGGTTGTTTGCCAGCTGAAGAGCAAGGTGTGAGCTGTACGGGTGGTAAGATTTCTGCTGTTGGCAAGGACTGCTGTGCTAGATGCGTGCCACGTAAGTCATTTCCTGCGGGTTTGGGGGAGAGGGTTTCCCATGTGTGTTGCCTCACTGAAGAGTGTCAATAACATTCATTTTGTGTCACGTGCTGTTCTCATGACTTGTTGATCATTGAGGACGCTAAATTTCTATAACTCTAAACCATCCCCAAACTATTCAGCAAAGGGAACATGTAAAGTGTACGGAGACCCCCATTACACTACATTTGACGGTAAAGGCTTCCTCTACCAAGGGGACTGTACCTACTGTATTATGAAGACTAATGATTTCGAGGTTCAAGTCAAGAACCAGGATCGGGGGCCAGTCTCCATCACTGAGTAAGTAACTTTGCAGTATTGGGTAAGTAACGGTAACATTACAGTATTGGGTAAGTAGCTGTAACATTACATGCCGAAATAATGCAAATTAAATTTATAAAACAGGAAATTCAGTAAAAATGCCAATCTGTGTCATAAAACAAAAAACAAGTACATTACCTTATATGGTAGTTTTACTACCATATAAAGATATAACATTTAAATTTCTACAATGTTGGTTCCCACAAGGTACTGCTATCTGAATTTTGACGGGGACGAATACAGAGTGGGTAAGGGTAGTCTAATGTTGAAAGAGGCAGGAGAGACCGTCTCCAGGGTGGTAGCTACTCCCTTCAAGAAGTATTACACCACTGAGGACTATGTTTACTGCTCCAGCTATATATCTTGCAAGCTCTTCATTGGGGGAACGGAGATGCTGGACCTAATGTGCAAGTTCTACTATCTCACTATACAGGTATATTACCTTAAATGGTAGTGTTACCATAGTAACATTACCTTATATGGTAGTGTTACCATAGTAACATTACCGTATTAGGTATCCAGGTTTAAAGACAAGCAGTGCTACTTCACTAGTCAGGTTTTATTAAAAACCACACACTCCCCCTATTTCCTAACCTATACCCAAGTTTAACTCCAACCCTTATATGGTAGTGTAACCATAGCAACCCTAACCCTCAAGTACCTGCAGTAAAAACCCTATATCTCAACAGCTGCACGGCACGTACTATGAGAGAACAGATTGTATCTGTACCCTCAAGTACCTGCAGTTAAAACCCTATATCTCAACAGCTGCACGGCACGTACTATGAGAGAACAGATTGTATCTGTACCCTCAAGTACCTGCAGTTAAAACCCTATATCTGAACAGCTGCACGGCACGTACTATGAGAGAACAGATTGTATCTAACCCTCAAGTACCTGCAGTTAAGAACCCTATATCTCAACAGCTGCACGGTACGTACTATGAGAGAACAGATTGTATCTGTACCCTCAAGTACCTGCAGTTAAGAACCCTATATCTCAACAGCTGCACGGTACGTACTATGAGAGAACAGATTGTATCTGTACCCTCAAGTACCTGCAGTTAAAACCCTATATCTCAACAGCTGCACGGTACGTACTATGAGAGAACAGATTGTATCTGCAGTTAAAAACCCTATATCTGAACAGCTGCACGGCACGTACTATGAGAGAACAGATTGTATCTAACCCTCAAGTACCTGCAGTTAAGAACCCTATATCTCAACAGCTGCACGGTACGTACTATGAGAGAACAGATTGTATCTGTACCCTCAAGTACCTGCAGTTAAGAACCCTATATCTCAACAGCTGCACGGTACGTACTATGAGAGAACAGATTGTATCTGTACCCTCAAGTACCTGCAGTTAAAACCCTATATCTCAACAGCTGCACGGTACGTACTATGAGAGAACAGATTGTATCTAACCCTCAAGTACCTGCAGTTAAAACCCTATATCTCAACAGCTGCACGGCACGTACTATGAGAGAACAGATTGTATCTAACCCTCAAGTACCTGCAGTTAAAAACCCTATATCTCAACAGCTGCACGGTACGTACTATGAGAGAACAGATTGTATCTAACCCTCAAGTACCTGCAGTTAAAACCCTATATCTCAACAGCTGCACGGCACGTACTATGAGAGAACAGATTGTATCTGTGCCCTCAAGTACCTGCAGTTAAAAACCCTATATCTCAACAGCTGCACGGTACGTACTATGAGAGAACAGATTGTATCTGTTCTCTCATAATACCTGCAGTTAAGAACCCTATATCTCAACAGCTGCACGGCACGTACTATGAGAGAACGGATTGTATCTGTACCCTCAAGTACCTGCAGTTAAGAACCCTATATCTCAACAGCTGCACGGCACGTACTATGAGAGAACGGATTGTATCTGTACCCTCAAGTACCTGCAGTTAAGAACCCTATATCTCAACAGCTGCACGGTACGTACTATGAGAGAACAGATTGTATCTGTTCTCTCATAGTACCTGCAGTTAAGAACCCTATATCTCAACAGCTGCACGGCACGTACTATGAGAGAACGGATTGTATCTGTACCCTCAAGTACCTGCAGTTAAAACCCTATATCTCAACAGCTGCACGGCACGTACTATGAGAGAACAGATTGTATCTAACCCTCAAGTACCTGTAGTTAAAACCCTATATCTCAACAGCTGCACGGTACGTACTATGAGAGAACAGATTGTATCTGTACCCTCAAGTACCTGCAGTTAAAAACCCTATATCTCAACAGCTGCACGGTACGTACTATGAGAGAACAGATTGTATCTGTACCCTCAAGTACCTGCAGTTAAAAACCCTATATCTCAACAGCTGCACGGTACGTACTATGAGAGAACAGATTGTATCTGTACCCTCAAGTACCTGCAGTTAAAAACCCTATATCTCAACAGCTGCACGGTACGTACTATGAGAGAACAGACTGTATCTGTACCCTCAAGTACCTGCAGTTAAAAACCCTATATCTCAACAGCTGCACGGCACGTACTATGAGAGAACAGATTGTATCTGTACCCTCAAGTACCTGCAGTTAAAAACCCTATATCTCAACAGCTGCACGGTACGTACTATGAGAGAACAGATTGTATCTGTACCCTCAAGTACCTGCAGTTAAAACCCTATATCTCAACAGCTGCACGGTACGTACTATGAGAGAACAGATTGTATCTGTACCCTCAAGTACCTGCAGTTAAAAACCCTATATCTCAACAGCTGCACGGTACGTACTATGAGAGAACAGATTGTATCTGTACCCTCAAGTACCTGCAGTTAAAAACCCTATATCTCAACAGCTGCACGGTACGTACTATGAGAGAACAGATTGTATTTGTGGGAACTGGGACGGAAATGCAGCCAATGACTGGACTACTAAGGATGGCCAGCTGGTCACAAACGCTAACGACTACGCTAACTCGTATCAAGTACACAACAGTGGCGGAACCTGCCCTCAACCCCCTCCTCCTACTGACCCTTGTCTTAGCGCCTCCAGGGAAACCAGGAACTTTGCGGAGGTCTTCTGCTCCCGTTATAAGCAGCAGCCCTTCAAGAGCTGTCAGGACACTGTTGATGTCACCAAATACTTCAAGGTCGGTGAATGAAAAACACAAGGAAATATTTTTAAATTTAAAGTAATTACGTTATATATAAAATAATTCGTGGATATTTCCACGATATGGAGTTTTTCTTAAAACCTCCCTTCTTTAATCCCCGGACTGTCTCCGTGCCTCCGGGCCGGCCACTGGGCCACTGTTTAACAATAATGGGCTACGTTATAACTTCAGGACTGCATGTACGATTACTGTGCGATGCCGGGAGATACTGAAAATATCTGCGCTGCTGCTGCTGCCTACGTGAAGTCTTGTGCTGAGGCAGGGGCTCCGGTGGAGGGTCAGTTACTTACAGCTCTGCAACCTTATCACCATAACAACAGTTACTAACTGCTCCGTAACCTTATCACCATAACAACAGTTACTTACTGCTCTGTAACCTTATCACCATGACAACAGTTACTTACTGCTCTGTAACCTTATCACCATGACAACAGTTACTTACTGCTCTGTAACCTTATCACCATGACAACAGTTACTTACAGCTCTGTAACCTTATCACTATAACAACAGTTACTTACTGCTCTGTAACCTTATCACCATGACAACAGTTACTTACTGCTCTGTAACCTTATCACCATGACAACAGTTACTTACTGCTCTGTAACCTTATCACCATGACAACAGTTACCTACTGCTCTGTAACCTTATCACCATGACAACAGTTACTTACAGCTCTGCAACCTTATCACTATAACAACAGTTACTAACTGCTCCGTAACCTTATCACCATAACAACAGTTACTTACTGCTCTGTAACCTTATCACCATGACAACAGTTACTTACTGCTCTGTAACCTTATCACCATGACAACAGTTACTTACTGCTCTGTAACCTTATCACCATGACAACAGTTACTTACAGCTCTGTAACCTTATCACCATGACAACAGTTACTTACTGCTCTGTAACCTTATCACCATGACAACAGTTACTTACTGCTCTGTAACCTTATCACCATGACAACAGTTACTTACTGCTCTGTAACCTTATCACCATGACAACAGTTACTTACTGCTCTGTAACCTTATCACCATGACAACAGTTACTTACTGCTCTGCAACCTTATCATCATGACAACAGTTACTTACTGCTCTGTAACCTTATCACCATGACAACAGTTACTTACTGCTCTGCAACCTTATCACCATAACAACAGTTACTTACTGCTCTGTAACCTTATCACCATGACAACAGTTACTTACAGCTCTGTAACCTTATCACCATGACAACAGTTACTTACTGCTCTGTAACCTTATCACCATGACAACAGTTACTTACAGCTCTGCAACCTTATCACCATGACAACAGTTACTTACTGCTCTGTAACCTTATCACCATGACAACAGTTACTTACTGCTCTGTAACCTTATCACCATGACAACAGTTACTTACTGCTCTGTCACCTTATCACCATGACAACAGTTACTTACTGCTCTGTAACCTTATCACCATGACAACAGTTACTTACTGCTCTGTTAGCAGACCTTATCATCATGACAAATGTTTAGTTAAGAATTTATGTAAATGTTCCGTATTGATATTATTAACTAATTAACTATGATCACTAATAATTAACTTTAACTGTCCAGGCTGGAGGACTAGTAACTTCTGTCCCATGAACTGTCCGGACTGGCTTCGTGTTTAACGGGTGTGGTGCTGGTTGTCATGCCACCTGCTCCGATCCTGAACCTCAGGGTTGTGAGGATACCTGTATTGAGGGCTGCTACTGTCCACCAGGTAATATCACCAGGTAATATCACCAGGTAATATCATCAGGTCATATCACCATAGTTACCAGGTCATATCACCAGGTCATATCACCATAGTTACCAGGTAATATCACCAGGTCATATCACCATAGTTACCAGGTAATATCACCAGGTCATATCACCATAGTTACCAGGTAAAATCACCAGGTCATATCATCATAGTTACCAGGTTATACCACCAGGTCATATCACCAGGTCATATCACCGTAGTTACCAGGTAATATCACCAGGTCATATCACCATAGGTACCAGGTAATATCACCAGGTCATATCACCATAGTTACCAGGTAATATCACCAGGTCATATCACCATAGTTACCAGGTAATATCACCAGGTCATATCACCATAGTTACCAGGTAATATCACCAGGTCATATCACCATAGTTACCAGGTAATATCACCAGGTCATATCACCATAGTTACCAGGTAATATCACCAGGTCATATCACCATAGTTACCAGGTAATATCACCAGGTCATATCACCATAGTTACCAGGTAATATCACCAGGTCATATCACCATAGTTACCAGGTAATATCACCAGGTCATATCACCATAGTTACCAGGTAATATCACCCGGTCATATCACCATAGTTACCAGGTAATATCACCAGGTCACATCACCATAGTTACCAGGTATGACAAGTGTTGTCATAGTAACAACAAGTGTTGTCATAGTAACAACAAGTGTTGTCATAGTAACAACAAGTGTTGTCATAGTAACAAATAGTGTTGTCATAGTAACAACAAGTGTTGTCATAGTAACAACAAGTGTTTTCATAGTAACAACAAGTGTTGTCATAGTAACAACAAGTGTTGTCATAGTAACAAATAGTGTTGTCATAGTAACAACAAGTGTTGTCATAGTAACAACAAGTGCTGTCATAGTAACAACAAGTGTTGTCATAGTAACAACAAGTGTTGTCATAGTAACAACAAGTGTTGTCATAGTAACAACAAGTGTTGTCATAGTAACAACAAGTGTTGTCATAGTAACAACAAGTGTGACCCCTCAGGAACTGTTCTACAAGACGGACAGTGTATAGAGTCGTCAGATTGCCAGTGCATGTTTGAAGGGAGGTTCCTAGAGAACGGGCAGAGTTGGAACGACACAGTTAAGTGTGAGACGTGCGAGTGTGCGGACGGGGGAGTAATAGACTGCACTCCTAAAGTGTGTGGTAGTTGTCCGGCTGGACAGGTACCTGTGAGCAGTGTCGGGAGCTGCTGCCCCTTCTGCCTAGCTGACTGGGCCGATGAGAAGGAGGACACGCTGGAACTGAATGTAAACAATGGACCTGCTACTTTGGAGTGTGTTCTCCATGACGACGTGCTGGTCGCCCCTGACGCTGTGAGTTAAGCATGCACTGTAACCATAGTAACACGGTCAGTTAAGCACTTGCTATTATATCGTGGTTTATAAATTGTTGCTGAGCGATTAATTCTATGCGCTGTTCGTGAAAATAATGTCACATTTTCCCGCTAATATAATGTAACATTACTCTGCAGATAACCTGGAAATATAGCAGTGGAGAAGAGATAACCGCGGAGAACAAACCAGACAACTTCCAGTTCAGCGAGGACATGCTCACCTTGACTATAAACGTTAGTAAAGTATTTTGCGCTTCCACATAACTATTTCTTATTCCTAAATAAACTATTTCTTATTCCTGTCATCTTTGACATTGAGTTAGAATGTTTTGAACTTAAAATATGCCTGCTGAACTACTTTCAATGAGTGTCTTAATGCCTGAAAAACAGTAAAGGGGTATATTAGTATAGAATGTATAAGAGCCACGGTGCTTGCCAGCACTGTGATATACATTCTAGTATACATAGTATATACATTTTTAAAAATTGAAATCTTTCAAATCGATCAATTACATACAAATTTACACAATGAATAAACAACATTAAATTTTCTCAAAAGCATTAAATTTTCTCAAAAGTTAAATTTTCTCAAAAGATGTATAATGTATATTGTAAAGTACATGGTCATCACTAATCAAACGGACAATGTCTTAAACAAATTCACTGTTACATTGTGGTGATGATCCTTACGTTATAAGAGATGAGAATCAGTTTATCTTGTTTCTGAAGTTCCGTCTCCTCAGCCCGCACAGATAACTGATGAGAATGACTACGTAGCCGAGGTTATCTATAACGGAGTTGTGGGCGCCTGTAAGTTCGATCTGGACGTTATTCCGGTACCTCCCAAGAACCTGATAGAGCTGGAGGGAGACTCGCCCAAGACTGTGAAGGAGGGAGATTGTCAGACTCTTTCGGTGAGTACCGTGTTACTATGGTTACAGAGCACCGCCGTCAGCTTATTAAATAAGATATCTCAACTTGAAGAGCGACCATCAGGACTCTAATAAGTGATGACGTCATAGTTTTATGGTTATCTGTTGCGAAATTATCAGCTTTACCCCAGGTGAATGTTATTGGGGATGACGTCATAGTGATGACGTCATAGTTTTATGGTTATCTGTTGCGAACTTATCAGCTTTACCCCAGGTGAATGTTATTGGGGATGGGGACTTTTCAGCGGAGGACTTTACTTGGGCATCTGGGCTGGTGGACACTGCCGTGGACTTCTCTAATGACAAATTTACTCTACTTCAGGGAGGCAAATCTCTCAAGGTGAGCTTTAAAAGTTGCAAAATGGCTTTTTAATGCTAATTTAATGCTATTTTAATGCTATTTCAATGCTATTTTAATGCTAATTTAATGCTATTTTAATGCTATTTTAAACTATCCGCCTAACAGATCTGTGACGCACAAGATACAGACGAAGGACCATACAGAGTGTGTGTGACTGAGGGAGATATTACGGACTGTGTGGATGTAGAGCTACAGGTTCTAGCTGTGTGTGAGGGGGATCAGGAGAGACTCGTGAGTTTATATATTTCTTTGTTAGCATCTTAGCTACCCGTTCCAGCTTAGTTATATCTTAGCTACCCATTCCAGCTTAGTTGTATCTTAGCTACCCGTTCCAGCTTAGTTGTATCTTAGCTACCCATTCCAGCTTAGTTGTATTAGCTCGTTCAAGCCTTTTCATATCAGTAGACTATCCATTATAGTTTTGATTTAGCTACGTTACAAAGTTAAGAGGTTTTTGCTACCCAGGTACTGTGTTATATTTGACGTCCAGTTGTTGTTCTTAGAGACATCGTGCAGTAGTGGGATTTACACAGAATTCCGCTTAGTGAGACATAGTCACGTATTGACTGGAGTGTGTATAGCTACCGGGGTTCACGAGTTGACTTGCTACTTGTTTCAAGTTAGTTGTACTGTTAGCAACCATAGTATGTTGTAACTTAGTAACCCATTACAGCTTGTTCTAGCGTTAGTACCATTCCGTTATGTATCCTTAGTAACGTTACCGCTTGTGTTCTAAGCTAACCATTTCCAGCCTTAGTTGTAATATTTCTAAACAGACATTAGTTGTATTCTAGCTGACCTCAGTGCCTGAAGTTGTATTTGTACCGGATTCCACTTAGTTGCATCTTAGCTACCCGTTCCAGCTTAGTTGTATCTTAGCTACCCGTTCCAGCTTAGTTGTATCTTAGCTACCCATTCCAGCTTAGTTGTATCTTAGCTACCCGTTCCAGCTTAGTTGCATCTTAGCTACCCATTCCAGCTTAGTTGTATCTTCGCTACCCGTTCCAGCTTAGTTGCATCTTAGCTACCCATTCCAGCTTAGCTACCCATTCCAGCTTAGTTATATCTTAGCTACCCATTCCAGCTTAGTTGTATCTTAGCTACCCATTCCAGCTTAGCTACCCATTCCAGCTTAGTTATATCTTAGCTACCCATTCCAGCTTAGTTGTATCTTAGCTACCCATTCCAGCTTAGCTACCCATTCCAGCTTAGTTGTATCTTAGGCTACCCATTCCAGCTTAGTTGTATCTTAGCTACCCATTCCAGCTTAGCTACCCATTCAGCTTAGTTATATCTTAGCTACCCATTCCAGCTTAGTTGTATCTTAGCTACCCATTCCAGCTTAGCTACCCATTCCAGCTTAGTTATATCTTAGCCACCCATTCCAGCTTAGTTGTATCTTAGCTACCCATTCCAGCTTAGCTACCCATTCCAGCTTAGTTATATCTTAGCTACCCATTCCAGCTTAGTTGTATGTCTGGAAGCCTTTTCAATATCAGGAAGGAACTATCGCAGTTATAGTTTTGATTTAAGCAGTACTGTTAAATGTTGAAGACACAGGTTTGTTGTCCCCTAGTACTGTTAAATGTTGAAAACACAGGTTTGTTGTCCCCCAGTACTGTTAAATGTTGAAGACACATGTTTGTTGTCCCTCAGGAAGGAGAGACGTGGAAGGAGGGGGATTACACGGAATGCTCCTGTTCTTCAATAGGAGAGACAGAGTGCAGCTGTATTGAACAGGAGGTCACATGTGAAGCTACCGAGGAGGGGTACTACGACGAGGACTGCCAATTCTTGTGCTCTAGACGTTAGTAACCATAGTAACTGTTAGTAACCATAGTAACTGCAAACTCTTGTGTTCTAGACGTTAGTAACCATAGTAACCGTTAGTAACCATAGTAACTGTTAGTAACCATAGTAACTGCCAACTATTGTGTTCTAGACGTTAGTAACCATAGTAACTGTTAGTAACCATAGTAACTGTTAGTAACCATAGTAACTGCCAACTATTGTGTTCTAGACGTTAGTAACTGTTCAGCATTAAGTAGTTTAATTATTTCTAATAGAGGAACAACTTTTCCTTACTAACAAGTTTCTGAACACCCTCAGTGCCAGGAAACTGTTTGGTGACTGTTAGTAACCATAGTAACTGAATAGTGAACACCCTCAGTGCCAGGAAACTGTTTAGTGACTGTTAGTAACCATAGTAACTGTATAATACCCTCAGTGCCAGGAAACTGTTTGGTGACTGTTAGTAACCATAATAACTGCCCTCAGTGCCAGGAAACTGTTTGGTGACGGGAGATCCTCACTACAAGACATTTGACGGATACAGGCACGATTTCCAGGGTGGAAACTGCAGATTCTCTTTGGTAAGACTTTTTAAAAGTATTTCTAATTTTGAAAGAATTCAGGTCAATAGGTACTAGGTAGGTTCCGTCCATGGATAAATCTTGTTATATATCAAACTTACTGACACAGTATGTAAAAGTATCTTTGAATAAGATTCTTGTCAATATTGATTTTTTCGAAGCCACCCATTCGTTAGTAACCATAGTAACTGCCAATTCTTTTGTTCTAGAAGTTAGTAACCATAGTAACAGTAACCATAGTAACTGCCAACTCTTGTGTTCTAGAAGTTAGTAAACATAGTAACTGTTAGTTTCGAAGCCACCCATTCGTTAGTAACTAGTTACCATAGTTACACTACATTCACTGCATCTTTTCGATTCAATTGTAGGTGAAAACAGAAGACTTTGAAGTGGTTGGAACAAACAAGCACAGAGATGGTAACAAGAATGTAGCTTGGAATGACGCTGTTGAAGTCTTCTTCCAATGTGAGCTCTTCATTCCCATAAATCAGTTATAGAAGTTAAAGATGTTCAACTGTTATTTTAACTTTAACAACTAGCGGTGTAGTAGTTGACATAGCTAGTCTTAATTGAGCTTATTTCAGCTGTAAAACTGTACCTCGGACCGGCGGGAGAGGTTAAAGTAGGGGATGAAGCAGTGATCCTACCGTACGAGAAATCATTCAGAGGCAAGGGGAAGACCAGGGAATCCATTTCTGTTAAACTTGCCGGCAGCACAGTGAGTCCAATTTCTTACCACAAAATTTTCACTTACCATCGAACCTTTTACTTCGTACTAACGAAATAATAGGGCCACGTGTTATTGAAGGAACTGCAGAGATCCACAATCAAAGAATCTGAATAATATTTAAAATTTGAATTCACCAGAAAAGACTCGTTCAACCAAGTTACTCCAGTAGCAGGATGTAGTTGAGTGTGCACTACGAGTACGATGTACAGAGTTGTTTGCTACTGAATTTGGTTAAATAGGTCATTGGTAACTCAGATCACTTCGGTGCGCAATATGTTGTGTCGTTAGTCTCAACCCTGTGGGACCACGCCCATATTTCATATTAGGCGCGTATATGGGAAATGTGTATCGCAGCTTCTGAACGGATTAGAGACTGAATCTTGTGTTTAAAATGATCGCAATGCACATGTATATATTAGCACTGTGAAGGGTATGAAGGCCCAAAATGCTCACTTTTGGAAACAATCCAGAAAAACTGATTTTCCCTGGAGTTTGAGTAAAAATCTATTCTTCTAAGCTAAGTGAAATCGAGTATGCATTTCGGTATCTACTAATTTTCTATACACAGGATCCTTTTTAAAGTCATTCTCGATATTGATGAAGTACGCAATTTTATCAGTAGTTCCAACCCTAGGAGCACAATTTCTAAATTACCCTCAGGCGCAAATACATGAATTTTGTATTTTCCTGTTTGCCACTCGGTTTGGCCGGTCTGAAAAAAAAAGGAAGATTGATGTGTTATGTGGTCAATATACAGCTACAATATGTGATCCAGCTTGACTAGTTATTCATTTCATAATTCACCTTCTTTCGTTTTTAATCAAATAATAATATTGCATTAAGTAAAACTCACTGTATTTGAGTTACCAAATGACAAAACCTCTGACATCGTAGTGCACACTCAACTACACCCTGCTACTGGAGTAAGCATATTCTAATAGGAAGTACCGAATGTAATAATCTTGTTGGATCACTGCATGATACACTGATCAGGTGGTAGTCAAGGTGATGAAAGCTAACGGATTAGAAGCTCTGGATCTGACCTGGGACGGTAACAGCACCGTCTCCTCCTCTATCCACGGCAAGTACTTCGAGGGAACCTCAGGTCTGTGCGGCTCCTGGGACGAAGATGATGGTAATGAGCAGGGTGGGGCGGATCTCAACGACTTCGGCTGGGGCAACAAGTATAATGACGAGGTGTGCGAGGAAGAACCACAGCCAGAACACCCGTGTGATGATACCTTCTTCCCTGGGGCAACTCCAATAGCTGACCAAGCCTGCGATGTCCTTGAAGGTGGGTTATATAATGGTGAAAAGATATTTTTTCAATTAAATTTTGGATTTATGGCGATTATAGAATAAAATAATGACTGAACCAAAATTATTTCTCTAATTTCGATATTTTCACATTTCCAGCTGCTCCATTCGCGGCTTGTCACGCTCTAGTGGACCCGGAAGCCACGATCCGGAACTGCAAATACGACACGTGTGCTTGTTATGATTCCGCATGTGCTTGCCACTCTATTAAAGCATATGTTAAGGAGTGCCAGGAGAAGGGAGTCCAGGGTCTGGAGGCTTGGAGAGATAAGGCTAGCTACTGTCGTAAGTTGGGCTGCACCCCAGATAAAATAACCTAAAATAACATAAACCCTAAATAAAATAGCATAAACCCCATCATCAAAGGCTTATCTCTACCATATGTCTGAAATTAAAACCAAGAATAAATCTTAAACCAACACACTATGTCTAAAGTTAAAACCAACAATAAATCTTAAACTAACACACTATGTCTGAAATTAAAACCAACAATAAATCCTAAACTAACACACTCAGCGCTGACTTGCGAGGAGGGGCTAGTGTACGAGCCGTGCGGAAGCTACTGTCCCCCAACTTGCGGAGACAAGACCCCGGAGTGTGGTAAGATGGCTGGACAGTGTAACGAGGGCTGCTTCTGTCCTAAAGGAACTTACCTGCTCGGAGGCAAGTGTATAGCGGCTGAGGAGTGTCAGTGTACTTTTAATGGAGAAGAGAAGGAGGTTAGTTGGGAGGGTTAGGAGACTTTAAAATAAACCTTATTCTTTAGCTTAATCTACCCAGATTCAACTCAATAACCTCACCAGGTGGGAGCCACGTGGGAAAATGAGAACACGTGTGAGACTTGTCAATGTGAAGGGCAGGGCGAGGTGATCTGCGTCAAGACTCTCTGTAGCAAGTGCAAGAAAACGGTTTGTCAAATGTCATAATTCGTAATTATCGTAACTCATAATTCGTATTAATATTACATATTAATTTATAATTATAAACTTGAAATAAATGGTAATTATTATAAACTTGAAAGAAATGGTACCCGAACTTATCCTAGAATCGTACGCCAGCAACTGAAAATTAAAGGTCGCTTCGTTGTTCGTATAACACTGATACACCACCAGGAAATGCCGGTGTATGAAGGAGATGCCTGCTGTCCGGACTGTGTGGAACAATGGTTGACAGCCGAACCTGCCGAGTTTACAGATGTCACTCAGTCCTCTGACCTGAAAATCAGTTGTCAGAGTCTGGTGACCCCTTCAAGGGTGGACTGGTTCTTCTCCAGCGACGAGGGAGCCACCTGGACCGAGATAGTGAGGGAGCTCAACCGTTTAGACTACACCATCAAGGACATTACATCTGATAACGACGGTAAAACAATTGCTACTGCGACTGTTACTGAGTTACCATAGTTACACTACTAGTTACCATAGTTACTGTTACTGTTACTGTTACTGTTACTGTTACTGTTACTGTTACTGTTACTGTTACTGTTACTGTTACTGTTACTGTTACTGTTACTGTTACTGTTACTGTTACTGTTACTGTTACTGTTATTGAGTTAAATTGAGTCGAATAATTTTAATGAGGACATCATATTATATTCAAAAGACTCACTTAGTATAGTAATAATGACAGCTATTTTCTGATACAGTACGTTTCTGGTAGTTTTCTAACCACGTACACGTACAGGTCAGTACAAATGTGTGGCAAGGAAGAGATTCCGGTCTCAGGAAGCTGTTATCACGGTGAAGACTAAAGAAGCAGCACAAACCTGTAAAGTTGTGGCTCCGGAGAACGGAATAGCGATCCCAGCTGGGCCGGAAGTTAACGTCGGGGACACTGTCGCGTACAAGTGTCAGAAGGGATTCAAGATAAAAGGTAATCTAACTTACAATCAAATCGAGTATTTTTAATATTCAGACTAAAAACATTCAGAAATCGAATCAGTTTGTTTTTATTCAATATTGAATATCAAATAAACTAATTAAATTAGATGTTGCATGTTATCAATATTGATCCACAATTTCGATTATTCTATTGTTACAACCCCTGTAGGAAAGAAAAAAGAGAAGTGCGGAAAGGACGGAGCTATCTCTGGAATTGCTGTGTGCAACAAGAAAAAGGGCAAAAAGGACAAAAAGAAGAAGGACAAGAAGGACAAAAAGAAGAAAGACAAAAAGGGCTAAAGAGATTACACCATGTATCGAACCTTCTTATGCACGGAAAATGTGTACGATTGTAAACTGTACTTCAAAACAACTCCATTCTTAAATCTGTTTAGTAACAATTCAATTTAGTTTTTTCATTTCTTAAAGGATTTTAAAATTATTTTATGTTTTCAATTTCTTGTCAATCGATCAATACATTTTATTTTCAGCATTAGTTCTGCATAATTTTATTGTTTGATGCGTTATAGAACCGAAAACAAGATTGTTGAACAAAATTCAAAATGTCAAATGATTCTAAGATACGTGACAATTATGGCAAGATCAATAATAAATAAAGTTGTAATCCAAAATTAAATATCATGTTAAAATTAAATGGAAGTCATTTTTTTAGAAGGTGGCATAAATTTGTGTCCAACAAGTGACAATAATTTTCCGCAAAGTGACAATTGAATTCAATCACTTTATCGTTTTAAAACGAATTTTTGTCACCCTTAACGAAAATACCAGAATGACAACCAGGCTGACCTGATACTTATAAATTAAATTCAAATCAAGATATCTTGGTTTTCGGGAGGATGTTTATTATCATATGATTTACAACTTTACATTTGGTGAGCTCAACTTCAAGTTTTTAACTGCAGTTTCGGCCGGTTATGTTTCATCGAATGAATATCCTGGAAGAGTGACCGAAAGAAAGTTTGGACACTAATATGAAATTTTGGATTCACGACGCCTTAGGCTAAAGTTCCACCTTTAGCTTCAACATCCTTGGGAATTGACCGGACAGTGGCAAACAAAAATGCCTGACTAGGAATCTCGCAGAATAGTGGAAACCCCGTGTGAAAATCTGAAGAAGTCTGACTAATCAAATCTCAGATTCTAGAATACTGTGAGTTACTGTTAGCCAGAACCTCTTGCCGCTGCTCACCCCTCGGACAGTTACTCCTCGACAAAATCTTGTTAATGAATCCTGGATCCGAAATCAGTCTTCCGATGAACTTTTTGTTGTATAGCTTCTCTTCGCATTCCAACCCTCGCACTATTCTGTCCACCAGTCTCTTGTGTTGCTCAATAGCGTCCTTTGATTTCTGACTGCCCCCAGTTTGAAACCTGCTGCTTCTCCTCATCGATATTATCAGTCTGAAATAGTAGTCAAACTACAGAAAACGTGAAGAAACTGAAGGTTGGCACTGCCTAGTTTTCTATAATCATTAAGTTATGATGGTCCATGAGCAATGAGCATCATCCATTTTACAGCTTTAAGATAACTTTGTTTTAAAACGTGACAGTCGCCGCTGTTGAGCAAAGTTCAGTCAAAAGTTATAGTACCAGAATGGATACGCATTACGCAAGTGTAAACACAATTGGGAGCGTTGAAGTTACAATTTAAATACTTTAATATTAATAAAAATGTAACCCAACGAAAGCTTCGAATTATGAAAATTGGGGTTGTGGAATTAAGGTTATTTCGACAACCTACAGACAAGTAATTTATTTCTCTTCTGACCTCATTAAATCGATGTATCGGACAAGTTTTAGAGTTCCTGTATGTAGTTTCGTGCAGCCCTTTTCTTTCAGCTTATGTACCAGGTGATAATCGGCGACCTTCATGTCGTGAATCTTCAAAAATTCCATCCGGAGCCGAACTGAAGAACGAGCTCTGTCTGGAAACACTATCTCAAACACCTGTGATATTCACCAAATTCATGCACATGAACGAAATCTAGTTTATTCGCGTTGCCAGGATTATTTCCAAATAAGGAAATTATTCGTATTCTTATAGTACATTATCTAATATTAAAGCTAACTTTAAGTTGATAAAAATTCGAAAAACTTGGAGGTACTTTTAATTTAAATAATGATAACCTGATGCATGAGAAAATACCAAACGTTACTGCTCCCCAGTCTTAAACACATGAGAGATTTGTCGAACGATCGCCCCTGAACAAAAAGGTGTTACAGTTACTTAATAGTTATCACTTTTCTAGTAGGCATGCAAGATTACATCAGTTTTGTTGATAATCTGGAACGTTCGCTATTTAATCCCAACTTACCGATTTTAAAGAGTTTCAAGATTAAAAAAAAAATACAAATCGCGATGATAACAGTTACCTTGATACCAACTCTGAGACGTATCACAAAGTAATCCCAATCACCGACAAGCTTTTTGTAATCGTTCATGATAAGAGATTCGTTTGCGACAGCATTGCTACAGTTTTCTCTTCCTTTACTCTCAGCTCCAAGTACCTGTGTGAACAGTCGGATAAGAAACTATTGTAAGGAATTTTCCTGTAGAACTAGCAAAGGAAGATCTGAAACTGAAAAACATATTATCAATGTTAAAAATGAATTTTTGTTGAGCTCGCTCTAAGTCTACAGGAATAAATACAATTGCTCATTCATTATTACCCGAAAGTGAAACTTACACTTGGGCTTTTGAAGGATGGGTCAGCAGTAGCAGAGAATGGACTCAATTGTCGCGATGGGGTTGACACAGCCGCGTCACTGATAAAAATCAAGATTACACCATTTCCTAATTTGAATGTGAAAGTCGATTGTCGAGCTATCGATCGAAAAGAATAATTTGTGCAGAAAAATTAAAAAGATAAGGATGTGATTGAAAAGCTAAGCAGGATACCTTAGATATTTTTCCTTAATCTCATCAAATTCATCATCAAATCCGTCAAAGTGAAAACTAGCACTTGAGTTGGGTGTTTTGCTGGGTGAGAGTTGTGGAAGTGGAGGTGAACTCCAGAGATGGTATTCTAATGGGACATGAGTTGAAATGTGAGCGTTTATCCAAGATGTACTGAGAGGAGTGACTGGATTGGAGTTGGATGAAAGTGTGAGGGTGGCTCCTAACACTGTGCTTACTCCAGAGCTATCTGGTGAAGATGTAGGAATTTCCATAGACTTCGTCATTCTAAGTGGCTAACTATGTCATCAAATCACTTTATTCCTAACTCCAAAATTTACATCCCTGAGCAACAGAAAAATTTTAAAAGGTGTGGACTTCAATAAAATAAGAATCAAAGTTATTACATTGTATTAGAGAAATAATCATACAAGGCATTATTTCCGAAATTCTAGGTTTTATTCGTTTTAAGATCGTTATTGATTTTCTAATGTTTGAAAATTTGAGAAAGCTCCGTCAACTGTCCATATTGAAATACATTCAATACGTACATTCGACAAGTCTCTTTTTGAAACTGTTTCTAATAGTATTTCCTAAACAGAAATCGAACGGATGTTACATTCGGGAAGATAAAGATATCCCAATGGAGGGACGCGTCAATTTACTACTCATATCAGACAACTCTAGACAAGATGGCGCCAAAACAACTTTGAGGACAAGTAGGGCACACGCGCACGCGTGTACATTTTGTGACGTCACGATACTCATTAGTCACGTGGGCAACTGCGCGCGCGTTCATTGGCCAGAGTTTTGTTGGGCGAAGTGTTACTCGTCGTCCGTGAAACTTCTCGAATGATCTTCGTTCGCAGTTTGTGTAAATGTATCTGTTTGACTTCATTTTGCTCAATTTTGCTCAATTAAGGACGTCCATCCCTTTATTGTAATTTCCAAATGGACACTAATACTATTATTACTTTATTATACCTGACTCGCAAAATGCTTTTTATGTTCCTTGCTGATAATTTAAATTTCCCTCTGGCCCAGGCCGCAGTAATCAGTTGCTTAAATTTGTTAAAGAATATTCCCTTTCATCAATCAGAGAGTCAAAACCATCTTATATCACTAAATTAGGATTCTACTGTCTCTGCGATGATTGAAGATACTAACATGAGGATACCGGCACCTCATTCTAAACTTTTGAGGTGATCTGTTATTAATAACTTGCTACATAAATTGCCCTCTCCATTATGAAGAAATAATTTCAGCTAAACCCATTATCTATGCTTCGTATCTACAATGTTATCTTTCTTTTGCTAATCTATTTATCAAAGAATTGTTTAAGGTCTAGTTTTACCGCAAACCTGCATTAAATTCAGTGGCGTAGCGTTACAATTTCCGTCCCGTTAAGGTTTTCGTCGGCCCCTTCGTTGTCCCATTCCCTTTTTTGACGTCCCTAATAGCATCGAATTTGCATCACGACCCTATACTTTTCTTCCCGACGTTTTTGTTGTACCAAGTATGACCTTATTTTGTTCATAAATTGCGCTACGCTACTGATTTCCATTTCATTTTTTCGAGGAACTCACTTTTTTTACCACAGCGATGCTGCCCCTTGTAGAACACCTGTAACTCCAAAATCTTTGCTTAAAAGCTGCTTAGCGTTTTCTGTTTTCAACGAAGCTTGTTATCAGGTATGCGCTTGCAGTTTACATATGATATTTGTTAACTTCAAATTTAGCTGTTCGTCTGCCTTATCACCTGTTAAAAAGTATCCCATCAGACGAATTTGATGAGAAATTGCTAAATCAATAATTTAATTTTGTCTCCAGGACCCGTTTAAGTGGGGAGGTGATTCTATTTCTGCGGAGCTGCCACAGCCAAGCCCAAGTACGAGAGCAAGTAAAAGAAGAAGAACCACTCGTGCCACTTTCTTTGAAGTTTCGAGTACGTCTCCTCAAGTACCCTCCAGATCCGTGGACTCCCCAAAAGTCAGGCTTGTTAAGTTTGGTGAGAAGTCCTTGTGTTTTATTCAGTGGAAGGAAGGCTCGCAGTACTTTATTTACAGTGAGGTAATAATAATATAAGCTCGATTCTTTGTTTATTTTACAAAATTTCGTGTAATGCATTTGTTATGATGGGTATGATGAGCTAAATATCATTTTGATTTGTACCAAATTCGTGACCTAAATGTAGAATTTTACAGGTGATCAAGGTCGTATTTGTGGACCGAGCTAGATCCAGTGTTAACTTAAGAGCTCGGTTGCTTGGAGCCCCTCACACCCTTGTTAAACAAACTGACTACACTCTCGCAAGGAAGCTGAAAAGTACTGGAGCTGTTAGTCAGAGATCCTGTTCTAATCTCAGACTGATCGAGTTCACTGATCTTCTCAGGTACCCCTTGTTACATATTCTGCAGCTGTGGTTTACATTTACGTTGTTTTTTTGGTTATATCGATATGAATGAACTTCTCTCTTGAGTGATGCATCACTTAGTCGAACTGAGAGGAAAATCAATTAAACAACTTATTATCTTACCACTAAGTACGAACTAAAAAAAACAATAGGCTGCTATTATTTGCTCACCTTTTGTTCCAGGTTAATAACATCATTCAAGTACGCACCTAAGCTGAAGACAGGTCACAGGGAAGATAATATGACTTCACTCCACATCTCTCAAGTAGATTCTGAGGTGATGGATCTGACGGACAGGGATCTCGAACCGATGGCGAAACTTCGCATGTTGGCTAAGATTATCAACTGCAACGAGGATTGAAGCTAGTAAATGAATGGACGTGGACATAAGTGTAAGTCTTACGTGTGATTGACTGATCGAGGCTAAGGTAAATTGTGTCGTCTTAGAATAAGGTTCAATGTATTTTATATTAAGCAGTTACATCACTGCTTATAACGTATTTTATATAGATTATTACCTCTTCCAGACTTGATAGTTAGATGTCTTATGACTTTTGACTGTTTTTCATCTTGATTATTTTAATTTATCAGTTTTACACATCTATCTGTTTATACCTTAATTTGCTGTTTAATTGTTTTGAATTTATCTACGGAGGACGCTATCTTTTACTCTTATACCCTACGTTTTATTGGGATCCAGGTTTTAGAGAAATTTATATTATACTGATTATTTATTTCAAGATTTTGAACCAGGATATACTGGATATGAATAGCATTATGATTTTTATGGAGACATTTTTATATCTAACAAATTATATTGAGTATTCTCTTATCAATGTATGGATAATGGACATAATTAACATATTCATCTTTGTGGATGTTCTTATTTGAAATTAAAAGTCGTTGAAAATATTGTTTTTATCTTTTAATCGACATGACATTGATTACTGATATTCAAAATGATTAGTAATTAGTATCTTTAGTTTTAAATAATGAGGTTACTTATTTCAAAATTACCCATCTCATTTGAATACTCCTTATTTTATAAGATGTTCATTTAATTAGCATTCAGAATATTGTAAACTTGATAAAAATTAATCACAGTGTAAGCTGTCGTTTCGGGTACATAACAATTCGGACTTCCCAACCAGTTTATTTTGTTGTAACAAAACAAACTGCTTCTAGTCATGACAGATTTCCTCTTTTAGTATGGTTCGAATAGTGGACAGACCAGAAACTTCAAATACTTTATTCTCCAGCACCTCTACACTTTCCAGCAGCAGTTGATGCCTCATCACGGCCCGGTAAGGTCTGTTCGTATTATGTGTGAAATTGTTGCGGGTTTTTTGGCCGATTATTCTTGACAATTATAATGGACTCCAACTTGGAACATAGAAAATGTAACTACTTCCAAAAAGAACAATAAATGTTTGACAGTCAAATAACGGTATTTCTACGAGATCTAATTCCAGGGATAGAATATGTGTTTATTTGTTTGTAAATAAAAGATTGGGGTATCATAAATAATACCCGTTCCCAACTCGTTAACGATCTATCATGATACTTATTGATATTGTTTGATTATATGATTATCACAATATACATTTATGTAAAATCCTATTGAGGCTCATTCCACCCATCCGCGTGTTTACTACTATTACTGTTACCAAGGTAACCACTACTGTTACCAAGGTAACTACTACAAATCGGGAAATAATTATTATCATATATAGCGCGAGTTTCTCCTCTTACCCTGCAGTTCCACGGCTCAGTTTTGCAACCAGATTTGCTCACATTTTTTCTCACATTTTTGCGACCGGAAATGAAATTCAAAAATATTTCTCCGCACGGAGAAATATTTTTGATATCTTCAGTTTTATATCCTGGTGATTTTCCGTTTATCCAAGCTTTCTTTGGGAATTGAACTTTGAGTACCTAAATCGTGTCTTGTGCCATCCTCAGTGACCTTGTAAGATGGTCATTCAAGAAAAATTCAGTCAAAACAGTGAAATTTGGGTCGCGGCAGGCTAAAATTCGAATATGTCCTACCGGTAGGACATATTCAAAATTTTCAGAAAAGCTTCTTTTCAAAAATCTTTCGAAACCTCTTTATCTATCTCCTGATAGAGAAAGAAACTGTCAGAAACCGTCAGGTCTTCGTCATGTTCAATGTTTATGTCAAGTGTTATGTTGAATATCGATGTCACGTGTCATGTTGAATGTTGATGTTACCAAGGTAACAGTAGTCTTGTGGTTTTGTCTTATTTTCTTCCCTGAGACCAATCGTTAGGACATGTACTATTTTTGTTAATTATATAAGCGAATGCTGCCATGGAGAAACAAGTCTTCACTTTCAAAGAAGAAACTAAAGCAAGTTTATCAGAAACGTCAACTTTTCGCAGTCAGGTCAGAACAATTTTACAGTTTTACTTTTAACGATTACATATAATTGTTTCTGATGAAAATTTTTAATAATTCCGTAAATGCGACAAAGGAAAAATGCTCTTTTCAGGTAAAGTAAACTTTCGACATTTCAATGTCACTACATCATATTCATGTTCTAAAAGATTTTAATCAAAAATTGAAAACATAAAAAATGTATGAATCTGACTTCTGAGGGAAAATTAGTGTAGAAAATAATTATAATTATAACATATAAATATGTGTATAAAATAACTATAATTATAACATATAAATATGATTGGCAGTTGATTCGCTACAACAGTCATCTTGAAGTTCCAGGGTTGTCTGAAACTCTATTATTTCGGGATTTGCACCGGAAATTTAAAGGAAAATCTTAGGGAAATAAGATAAAAAGAAACAGAAAAACCCGTGATCATTTGGCGATCATCCCAAAAATCAAAAGATAACAAGTCGAAAAATACAAGCTAGTCGTTTCATTTTATGATCATGTAAGTTGGGGATTGAAATACAAAGGTAACTACCCACACGCAAGTCACAACCCTTTAATAACTCACGTAAATCGTGTCAGAGTTTCACAAAAATTTCGGAGAATATAGATATGGGTCAAATTTAGAATTTCTGAACGTTTCGTAAAATTTCATCGATAATAGGGGTGTGGCACGCCACTCCCTATTTTTCACTATTGTCGCCATAAAGTGAGAACGCTTTAAGCTAGGAACTCAAAAGTTTCTAGACACATTTGGTAATTCAAGGAATTTCCCAAAATTTCAAGTTGATTGTTTTCAACTAAGCCGAGCTGTGATCCTGACACTTAATCAGTGATCTCTTCGAAACGGTATAACGCGAATATCTTTGATTTTAAGGAAAGTCACTATCAGTATTCACTCAAAGTGATCTGATCGCCATCCCCCAACATGTTTGGTAGCGCCTAATGAGGCTCATTGTTGCACGTTAGCGAATAGCTCCCGATGAAATCACTCACTTTATGACGACAATAGTGAAAAAGAGGGAGACAATAGTTTAAAAAAATCGCAATCTCGATTTGTCACTATTATACATATTAAGATTAGGATTAAAATATTTTCAAAAGTAAAAAATAACAAGAGCTGTTGTAACAACTAGCTTCCAAGGTTTCATTAACCGGATTAAAAACAAGTGTTACCATGGTACCGAGTGGCTATGATTAATCGTAAGTAGTATCCAGATCAAGTGTTACCATGGTAATTAATCGTAAGAAGTATCCAGCTCGCTATCGGACTCGCTGATCCTCCTGCCTGGTAATGTAATCTTGTTAATCTTGTTAATTATAATGGGCAGTCAAAAAATTGCAACTTTAGAATTATAACTTAAAAATAGATAGTATGGTGGTTTTGCCCCCCCTCCCCCGCCCCCCCCCATAATATAGATCTGAAACCCAGATCGTTGGGAGTTGAAAGTGAAACATACTTCACGATGTGTTACCATGGTAACCTTCCCACCGGATCGATAAGTTAAAGAAATCAAAATTCACCAAGTATGATAAATAGTTAAGAGCAATATTATCTTACCGTGACTTGTGACTGCAGCAGTTGCCATGCTGGCTATGAGGGTCACCACAACTGATGTAGATGTTTTTCTATCAACGTTTTCTGCCCTTGTAAAGAATTGGTAGGACCTCGCCAGTTTTGCCTTGACAAAATCTCGAAAGCTGAGAACGGTCAGACAATAAATGAAGAAGTTGCTCATGGTGTTTAGGAAAATGAACGAATGTATTACTCTGTAAAACTGGACGTGGAAAAAACTTTTGCTCTTATCGTGGACGTGAACGAACCCTTCTACGGCAGCATACACAAAAGTTGGTAGCACGGAGATACAGTAGAAAGTTGCGGTTAGAACTGTTGCCATGATCCCTTGCCAATTCAGACTGCCTCGATCCCGCTGGTCTGCAGACGATTTCGCTATCATCAACATGTAAATCGTGTTAACTACAACTAAACAAGTTGGAATAAATAGGAACACGAAGCCAAGGAGAGGTTTGAGCCAAGAGCGCCAGATATCCTTTGAGTAGACAAAATTACAGTGGTAGATTCTGTATGAGAATTGAATGTCATCCCAACCTTGATGATAGAAAGACACAGGGAAAGTGAGTCCTGCTAGCCAACATGCCCAGCATATCCTGTGAGCCTGCTTGATTGTAGTGCCCTCAAATTTGTCGGGATATTTCATCAAGAGCAGCTTGAAGGTGGTCATAGCGCAGATGAGAAGTATGCTTACTGGATTGAGATAGTATGCTGCGTAAGGAAGCAGATAGCACCAGTAGGTTCCAAATGTCCACTCCCCAGCAGTCACAGACACAAACCTCGGGCATACGTCCATAACAGTGACCATCAAGTCACAAACCGCTATGTGCTGGATGATCACGGTCATCACCTCATGAAGTTTAAAGGTATCGTACCTTATGGAGGCTATGAGAATGGCGGTGTCTCCTATCAGAGATGAAGCGATTACTGTTAGGAAGTACCCTGCCCATGTGTACCGGAGAGCATCACTTTCAATACCGTACGCAGTTTTATTACCGTACTCGTAAGGATTCATGTAGAACTTGAGTATTGAAATACGGCGTACGCGACAATACGTTTACAGCAAACCGACAAAATGGCTGCTTTGATATAGTTGGTTTCAATATAATCTCTCAAGACTATTAGCTATTGGTGCTGACTTACAGTCATCATTATCTTCATGTTCTCTGTACGGATAAGTTAATGTTAGCATTGTTAAACCAGGTCATCTTTTATTCGTTTTGAATGAGCATTATATATTGACTAATAGTATTGTTGCCATAACAATACTACTGTATAGTAATATTGACTAATACTCACTTTTAAGAATACGAGAAGTCAACTCGTCTCAGAGCTGGAAAACGGTGTCCTTTTTGTTGATACTTAATTGGGAGATAATCCAGAAATACAATAGATTTAATGAGGAATACAATAGATTAAATGCGATGATTGTCTTATGAACAAACTTGAGCGATCGTTGAACATATTACAGTTGTCATGGCAACAATGACACCGTGTGTTGTACAGGACTAAATTACCAATTGGCAGTGCCTGATCATGCTACTACCTCATTCTTATAGCTGTATCAACTGGGCATCATACATTCTTATAGCTGTATCAACTGGGCATCATACATTCTTATACTTATAGCTGTATCAACTGGGCATCATACATTCTACAGTGGTCATGGCAACATCATACATTCTTTACTTCATTTCAGCCATTTCAATGTTTCAAGAGATATCTTTCGTTTATACAATTATTAATTTATGCTAAAGGATTTAAAATAGAAAAACTCTATCCATCTTCCGCATATCACAAACGGAAGATGGTCATATTCTAAAAAACCAAGAAATTAGTCTTGTTTAAGGGGGCATACACTAAAACAGTGGTTTTTGCCGTTTTTTGCCGTCCAACTCAAATGACCTCATAGGCAGTTCAGTGACCCTCTAGCGCACTGTTTCCACACCAAAAAAAATTATTTTGAGAATATCTATTTTTGTAATCGAGCATTTCCTGGTAAGAGTGGAATTTTCGGAAAAACACAATTTGTTTTATGGAGAGGCTATAAGTTAATCATTTCTTGCGGTATCGGGTTGACTGATGGACATGAGTAATAAGTCCTGTTTAACTGAGGGACATGAGTAGTTCCTCTGTAAAGTTATTTACTGAAGTTATCTCAAATAATAAAACAAACAAATAAAAAAGCATCAAGAAAATGTCATTTCTCAGTCTAGTTAACTTCGATTTCTTTCTTAAATCGATGTTTCCTTTAGTTCGTGGGGTCCTATTGATACAGTCGCTATTGAAGCCAGATATATTTCATGATGACGTGTAGAATTTAGATTAGGTATGTCACTATAACGGAGATTAATATCGTTTTGTGTTTCTCAGTAGTTAGAAATCATTTGGCGTACAGTTCGCAGATCAACAAAGGTCTGTATTCAAACTTAATCCTTTGCATCTCTGATAGTTATGGTGTTGAAGGTCACACTGTCACAGCAAGCGGTGTTGATGGTTCAGCTCCTTCATCAACGTTTGCTTTTGCCTTTGTCCTGCACCTTCTTTCTCCTGGCAAATGTATTGCTGTAGACTTTGTAGATGTAATACTAATTAAATTTAAGGAAAATTCACAATTTCTATGTTTCTGAAGGGAGATATCAGATAATGTGGACTATTCTTACCACGGCGAGGTCCACGGAAGGAAGATCCGACGTTGGTGATAAACTGGTAGGACCGTGATACTTTAGACTTGACAAAATCTCGAAAGCTGAGAACGGTCAGACAATAAATGTAGAAGTTGCTCATGGTGTTTAGGAAAATGAACGAATGTATTACTCTGTAAAACTGGACGTGGAAAAAACTTTTGCTCTTATCGTCGACGTTGACGAACGATTCTGTGGCAGCATACACGAAAGATGGAAGAACGGAGATGCCATAGACAGTTGCGGTTAGAATTGTTGCCATAATCCCTTGCCAATTCAGACTTCCTCTGCTTTGGACAGCACATTTATTCGCTATAATCAGCATATAAATTGTGTTAAATACAACCAAACAAGTTGGAATAAATAGGAAGACGACAGCGAGGAGAGGTTTTAGCCAAGAGCGCCAAATTTCCTCAGAGTATACGTAATTACAGTGGTAGATTCTGTATGAGAATTGAATGTCATCCCAACCTTGATAATAGAAAGATACAGGGAAAGTGAGTCCTGCTAGCCAACATAACGCACATATCTTATGAGCTTGCTTTTCTGTAGTGTCCTCAAATTTGTCGGGATATTTCATCAAGAGCAGCTTGAAGGTGGTCATAGCGCAGATGAGAAGTATGCTAACTGGGTTTAAATAGTAACTTGCGTAAGGAAACAGATAGCACCAATAAGTCCCAAACGTCCACTCACCAGCAGTCACAGAAACAAACCTCGGGAGTACATCCATAACAGTGACCATCAAGTCACAAACCGCTATGTGCTGGATGATCACGGTCATCACCTCATGGAGTTTAAAGGTATCGTACCTTATGGAGGCTATGAGAATGGCCGTGTCTCCGATTAACGAGGAGGCGATCACGAAGAGGAAGTACCCGGCGTATGCGTACCGTAAACCATCGCTCTCAATACCATACGCAATCCTGTCATTATACTCGTAATCTACAGGTGTGATCTTCATCGTGGTTACCGTGATTACGAGTCTGTCTGTAATGATGCAGCAATTTAAATAGTGTAAAGAGAAGAGTGCCCGCCCTGATCAGCACGACTTTCTTCTCTATTGTTTGAGCAATCAATCTCGGAATGCGTGGTATGTAGAGTCTTATAAAGGAAGTTTAGATCCAGCAAATAAAAATAAAACAGTGTTTATCTGTCACGTGATGTAAGGAGGGTGGAATGTGTTTACTGTCGGTGCTGAGGTCACGTGTACAACACAATTTAATTCGAAATGTATTATAGTATAACCTAGAGTATAATGGATCCTTTTGTTGATAGTTTAGTGGAAGAATCTGCAGACAATGCAAATGTGTATAATTTAAATGCTTTGTCATCGACATCGCTTGGTACTAAAACTTCTTAGTTCAATATTACAGTAAAGATATTGTGTGATGAATTATCTTCCATAACATTAAATGTGAATGGACTAGCTCCGAACGACATCCACATGCAGTTCAAGGAGAGCTTCCGGCACAGCGTAAAAGCCACTGTGCCTGCATTTAATAAAAAGGCACAATATTCAATCTCGACCCACTATGAAAACCCTTTTGGAGTAAAAGCAGCCAAGTTATGGAACCTGCTCCCCAAGGAAGTTAACGCAATAAATATCTAGAAAAACTTTCAAATATTCTCTTGCTAAATTCTTGAGAGGCTATCCTGATACCCCGCCCACAAAAGGGTATACCGCCGCGCCATCACAAAGAACACTTCTGGAATGGAATCTTTAAAAGATCCAAGCCAGGGTGATTGGATAACGTAATTGATACTGTTCAAGCCAGGGCGATTGGAGAACGTACTTGATACTGTTCAAGCCAGAGAAGCGACCCCTGCCGAATCTACACAATGATAAAGTAACATAAACTAAGTAATTTATTATCATTGTCAAGTCGCTCAAAAGCAAAATTAATTTCTGAATTTCCAGCTCATGAAATGTGAAAGGCATAATTAAAACAAAAATTCAAAATCATTCAGAAAAATATATAACGAATTTTGACCCCATGTCATAAATTCAATTTTCAAAAAGATTATGAGAACATTGCGATCACGTTAATCAGTATTGGGTGTCCAGTTATTGCGGTAATTCACTCATTGACAAAGACAAGACCATAACATAAACAATTACTGAATACAGTGCACTGTTTGAGCAGGTCATGTGAAAATATCTTAAAATTAGGCAAATTCTGATTCAACCAATTTAAATATTTTATACTTTTGAAAAACGTATGCTCAGAAGCATAGTAGCATAATCTTAAAAATACAGCTAAGTTTGTTAAGAAACACTACAAAGCATGTTAAGAAACACAGTAATGTATGTTAAGAAACTCAGTAATGTATGTTAAGAAACACAGTAATGTATGTTAAGAAACACAGTAATGTATGTTAAGAAACACAGTAACACCCCTGTTCCATGCCCAATGAACGATGAACGAGGATGCACACGAGGATATGATTTCCATAATTTTGTCGAAATTTCATATAGGTATTCTCGCGGTGATCCTCGTGCAATCCTCGTGCGATCCTCGTGGGATCCTCGCGATGACACCAGAAACTGCCTACATTTATATTTGTGACAAAAGTGAAAATTTACCTATTTTGATAAGCTGCGTGTGAGGAGAAAACCCTTGCAATATAATACCCTCGCGAGGATGGAAATGTCCAATAATATCATCGCGAGGAAATCATCCTTGTGGGGAAATTGTGCACGATGATGATTTACCCTCGCGAGGATGGGCATTTGCGCGAGGATTTGGAGGCAATATTCGACGAATTTATGGAAATTGTATCCTCGTGCCCATCCTCGTTCATCGTTCATTGGGCATGGAACAGGGGTGTAATTTAGTTAAGATGGCTTGGAGTTTATGTTTCTCGTGTGACTTTCTGTCTCAGATCCTCTTCTTCCTGAAAAAAACAGCTTTATAGAAATACTAGAAATCCCGTCGCCTGTGCTTTTCATCGTGCAAATTGTTGTCGTAGAAATTGCAAATAAAATAACTTTTGCACGTTTATGCACTTTTCTGACAAAGATAAATTACGGAATTATAATTGAGATATTATTTAAATCCATTAAATCTTCATCGAAACTTGGCAGTTGAGTATTAAGTAAGTCTGAATGATTCAACAATCGTCTCACCAAGTCTTGTAAAAGCATCCATTTTGGTAGAGAGCCGGAAGGGGAGCTGTATTCTCGACCACACGAAGTCTCTAAAGCCCAAGACGGTTAGACTGTAGATGTAGAAGTTGCTGATAATATTCAGGGATGGGAAAGAAATCGCTATCCTGTAAAGGTGGGTGAAATGAAAACTTCTGCTTTTGTCGTCGATCTTGACGAGGGATTCTCCAACGCGATACACTACCATAGGGATTAGAGAGAT